TTAATGGGATTATGAATAGAAAATTCCGTAAAAGCGTTATACATTTTTTTGTAAATGGGTATTAAACTATTTTATTACCAATTAATTTATTAGCAAACAAGAAATAGTTTATTTGTCAATGAATAGAACGTTTAGCAGCTGATATAAAAATATTACTTACTGCCCTATTAAATGTTTAATCTGATATATTTTTCGTTTGCATAAAACGCATTGCATAATTTATTATATACAAAAAAATAAACTAATAAAAAAAGCTCAGACATAGATAAAAATAACTAATTAACTAAAATCTTAAATTTTCCTATACGAATATTTTAATCAATTAATTTGATTGAACTATGTATATACTACGATATGTTATATCTATGATAAGTTTGGTAATAATTAGATTTTTTTCTTTCTAATAATATTGTACTGTACATTTAATTAAACAACTATAGTTATATAGAATAAAGGCTATTAGTTAAATCTGGGATGAGAATATCTGAGTTGTACTATAACTCTAATTAAAGTCCTGAAAGTGTATGACAATATAATATATTCAATATTGCTACCAAAATAGTCATAACTAATAATTTTCGATTGAGTATCAATGTATCTAATTTGAGTAGTTATTTAGAACTCTAAGAGGCTTAGTCGATTGCGAATTTAATTACTGTAGGTATCTCTTGAAATACATCATAAACCACGTATTTTGTGATTGCATTCATCCCTCTGTGTGGTATATAGGTAGGTACTAAGATATTTGTATTGCTTGATATATAAAAGAATAAACTAATTGATACTTATACAATTATTTATAAACCTAAGAACACACAATATCTATATACTGAATTTATCATTCTCAAAAGTCGTTTTTAAACGTTTATTTCTATTTCACGTATTAATTCCATAATATGTTCATATCATATATTTTTCGTATACTGTACTAAATATATTTGATACCATTTGAGTTATATTTTTTTTCTGATCTAAAAAGTGATCGCGAATAAAAACGCATCTGCACAGCTAGTTGAATTGTTGCACAGAAACAGAGAAACAATAATACATTCGTTTCACCCGAGGGTCCTATACTCAAAATTCTAAGGATATGCAACGCATTGTATGTATACATGATATAAAATCGTATATGCGAACGCCATTTAAATACGTTCATGTAATATCATTKGGTACAGAATACTACAGTATCATTGAGTACATGCAGATATATATATATATATATATGCTCAATGGTAATACATAGGTGCATATTCTTTGACATTTGTTAACGCAGTATTTCGAGAATAAGACTCAATAGAATCCAAAACGACAGTGATAATTGTTTTATATTATTCTTTAAAATACCAAAAATAGATACAATCAATAAATAAATAAAAATGCTATCCTAATACTTTCCAATCACGTAAGAAATTAGGCGTGATTTTTCCAATAATATTCAAACTGGCTGTAAAATACAGGTCATAAAATGATCAATAACATTTTATTACTGAATCCGTGTAATATAATTATGTAGCGATTTCATATAAATAATGGAACTTATTGGAAATTTCTAAAGTATATCGGCATTTTTATTATTATTATTCAGTGAATAGCCACTTACCTAATTAGATTATATTATTCTACACCTTAGCATCAGTACAATAGAKAAATTATATTTGATATACACCATCTCCAAGTCAATATTATTTTATTTTTTTTTGCATTTTATAATATGCGAAATTCTTGAAAAAGAGTCAGAACAAAAAATATAACATTTTGACCAGTAGGCGAATGACATTAAAATGATATAGATAAAAGTTTAAATATATTAATTGCAACATTAATTCAAATCATCTAAAAATAGTATGCAATTTTATAAAAAATAAACGCATTATAGTATTGACATTGTTTATCTATATTGCTCGTCAAGCGTATATACGATAAAAAATGGACATTGTGTCCCTCAGGGCCTATATAGCTACTACGACATTACTAAAGTGATCGGCAGACAACAGTGAATGTTTATGATAATGTTCTCAGAATGTGAGAATTTTGCACGCGAACGTATTATTTGTATAATACGTGTTATGGCAGTTAGTATTTTTATGTTAGTACACATACCTATGTGGCTATGTTTCAATAACATAACATAATTTTTGTTCCATTTGAATATTTGATCAAAAAGTAGTACACATTATGATATCTAATCCCAGACGGGATTGTATATTTATCAGAACAATGAAATATATTTATGATGTACTAAACCAATGATAAACAAAGATTAATATTAATTGAATCTGTATCTTTGCAAGTGGACTTGAAGGTACATAATAAAGATAATATTAATATATTTTTTATAATATTTTAATGCTTAACGGTCACCGTAAGTATCGACTATCGTTCGTGGTTTATGGATCGGAAAAGCATAAAACATTATAGGTTATAAAACAATATTAACTTTTTAAAAGTTATGCTTATGACACAACAAAGGTAGGTATACAACGAAAAATAATAAGACTCGATGTATTTATAAACGTGCAAAAATTGATTTTGTCCAAAAATTCTGTTGTTTCCAACATCTTCCAATTAATTTTAAAAAAGTATTCACTAAAAATTATTGTTGGCTCCACTAAGTACCAACTATATATAATTTACGATTAGAACCACTCTCCCAAAGTATAAGATAAAAACAATTTTATACAATATCTTAAAACTTAAAAGTAGGTAACACAATATACACATCCGTAATACATACGTACAATATAATTATTTACGTATTTTAATATAAAATTGCATTAATAATTTTAAAAATATTTATATCAATATTGTAATTTATTTAAATAATAAATTATTCGATACTAAAAAATTAATCAATAATATTTTAGAAATTAAATCATTAAAAATATTATTTTGTTGGCTTATGCGAAAATTGAAAAGTAAAACAAAATAGTTAAAATAAAATGTATGTTTATTTAGGGATTTATTAACAATTGCATATACCTAATTACACACAACTATAAATTTGGTTTTATTTAAACTCGAACATTACTTATGTTAATACTGAATCTCAATTTTATTATATTTGCTCGTGGACCCACGAATCCTTGGTCCATAGGACTTCTTATTTTCAGAGAACTACAAAGCAATTTATATATTTAATAATAAATTACGATACATAAATCTCTTTTAATTGTTCTCGGGTTGGAGTTTTTCGGGACAGATGCACCGAGAATGGAACGTTCATTTTCCACAGCATATTATCTTACCTATTTATCATCGAGGAAAAAATTGGTTTGAATGACATGTATCTACATAATATACAAGAGAAATATGTTTTGCCGTAAATATCAATATAGTTATTCTTCAACAATTCATCGCGGAAGGTTAGAAGAATGCCATACAGTCCAGTATGATAGTATGCCACTTTCCATTATCTCATGGCCACTTGAAAATTTCAAACCCACCGGCATGGGGCCTCTTCATTAACAAAACATTAGAATATATTTATTTTCTTGATACTAAAAGCGTTTGATTATCCATCTAACAAGTCTGTGCTGAATACCGTTGGATTAATCATGATGAAAGTTCGGTATTCCAATCAACCAACTGTAAGAGTCTGATGATTGAAATTTGGAATACTGTTTGACGGGGGGAAATAATTGCCCCGGTGTGGCAAATTTTATAGTGTTTGATRGAGAGAAAAATGTTTGAGAATCAATATAAAAAWTTTTTTAAGCGGGTTAGTAAGTGGATGTCGCTTTGCAGTACATTAGGTATAGGTTATAAGTGGGTTACTGTAATGGATGGTATTAAATTTGAATTCAATGATGTAATATCATTGCATACTAAAAACGATTCTGAGTAGAGATGGTTTATCAGTCTAGCATATTATGTTATACTATATGAATTTTATTGTTATAATTTCAAGAGAAAAAACGTTGTCCGTAATTATTAAATATTATAAAATCGTACTTTTTTCTCCTTTAACCACTTTTATTTCGAGTACCATTTCGAAAATCGAAAAATGACCTCTCTAAAGTACCAGCTCAAGAACATTACTTTAAGAAAAGATGCTACGCTTGATACTTTTGAGCAAGTTTAGAAGGGAAAAAAGTGTTTACAGAATAAAAAAAAGAAAAGAAAAAGAAAAAGAAATAAACATCATTGTAAAACCAATACATTCCTAGCTCCACTTAGAATCTAAAATATATACTTATATMATTGTAATTATATTTTCTTAAGGGCGGCAACACAGCTTAACGCGGCACTGACCATTAGTATCAAGAAAAGGAACATAATATACCTAGTGGCTAGTAATATTTTGTGAATGGAGAGATCACCGACAATGGCTTTGAGATTTTGAAGCGGCCACGAGCTGATGAACAGCTACATACTCCCACAAAAGGGTCTGTATATGATATTCCTCTGACCTTCCGAAGAGTTATTGAAGAATCACTATGTTGATCTTTACGGCCATATTAGCATAATTATTCTTTAATTTTGTATGTAGGCACATGCTATGTGAACCAAAATTCCACTTGATGATATGGTAATTGATTACATGCTGTGGAAAAATTAACATTTTATTTTCGGTGCACCTGTCCCGAAAAAACTCAAACCCGAGAAAAGATAGAAAAGATTTATGTATATAATGTAAATTATGATTTAAAATATAGATTACTAAGAAGTTCTCTGAAAAGAAGTAGTCCTCAGACTAAAGTATTTGTGGGTCTGTGAGTAAATATAATAAAATTGTTAGTAAATTTGTATAATATATATAATATGTAATGTTCAAGTTTAAATAAATCCACATTTATATAGTAGTGTGTAAAATATACCATAATATTTATAATTTTACATTATAAAAATTAACATTTTATTTATAATTTTTCTTTACTTTATAATTGGAAAAAAATATATTTTTCATGACATAATTCTAGACATCTATTTTATTGATTCATTTATTACTCTAAAATAACTTATCAATTGAATACATTTCGTCTACCACTGTAACTATTATATTAAATTTCTGCGGTTCCCAATAAAAGGTCACGGTTTACGCCAACATAACGTCGTGTGTCTCGTTCAGTCTTTCGAGCAACCATCTGTAGCCGCATTTCGGCCAAATTCTTCTGCATGCTGGCCATCCGCTCATTGTAATCGGTCGTTAGTGCCGCTGGTCCCACCGCATAGACCACTGACGAGTCGGTGAAATTGGGGGTCTCCACTGGAACTGCAGCAGCGGCTGGTTTACACTTTTCCGGAACAACCTTTACAAACAGTCCCGTATCGGCTTTCGAGTTTTTTTCGTAATCCACCGTCACTGTCCAAACAATTCAACGACAACAGTACTATGTTAATACTATACAACAATATTATAATGCATCCACGCCAATAAATGATATTAATGTAGGTACACTTGTTAACAAACGTTTAAACAATGTGGTCATTGCTACTTGTTAGATATAGGATAAATATTATATTCATACCGGACTTGRACGAGTGAAATGGTTTAATAAAGGACAACTAAGTTTGTTTTATAAGCTAAATCAGTCATGCAGTTCAAAGCAAATATATCTAATCAAGTTAACCATTACACTATAATAACAAATAACAATACTAAAATACCTTAACTCTAAATTTTTTACAGACATTTGAATTTTGAAGTATACTTTGTGAGATGGATATTTAAAATTTGAATGAAAAATAATGATTATTGGTATTTTGTTATAATTTTAAAATATTATCTGTAATACCAATTTGAATATATACTTAGTAAATACTAAATATAAGCTGACTACAGTCATCTTCGCTCAAAATCGTTTATCGTATGCAATGATTTATTATTGAATTGAAATTTGACACATTTATTGGAGGATATATTCAATGAAACAATGGCGTAGTATTTTTGAATTGCTTCTGAAGTGGGATATAACTTCATACTATTATCCTAGTCATTTGAATCATGACGTTACAACACTCGATATACGTGAACTAAACTGCAGTGTGTTGCCATTTTTATAGCCTTTTAAGTTTTAAAGTTCTTACTGGATTCCGGTAGAAATCCATTAATTATTTTTACTAAATTGCTTATTATATTATTTTTTTAGTGTTTTGTAGCTTATATAAAATAAGTTAACATTCTAATTATTTGATATTATATAAATTTATATAAAATATATTATAGAATATAGCCATATGGGTAATATATATTATATATAGATAAATGTATTCTTTAAGAATTCAAATATTGAACAGATTATACTGTATAATGTGTATATAAAAATCRATGTTAAAATATTGTAAGAAAGTACCTAATCAAATATTTTACGTATACCTTTCACGATGTCACTAAGGAGCATGGGAGCCAAGTTGGCAATAACGCTCGTCGATGGATTCAGTCCGGGAGTGGAATTAATCTCGATCAAATACGGAATAAAGTTTTCGGTGATCAAGAAATCGGCTCCGAACAATTGAAAAGTTTTGTCTCGGTAAACTGTAGTGTCCGTAGCGGCCTGTAATACAGCATAAACACATTCGCACATTCCGGGAAATATCAATTCATCCCATACGTATTCTTGTCCAATTTTTCTGAAATTAAAAAAAAATTATTTTAATTTAAAGGAAATAATAACAGAATTTATATTAAATATTTACATGGTATTTATTTTGACACAGAAAAATAATAAAAATACAATTAGCCATTATTGAAATTAATGTTTTCGAATTTATGATCTAAAATTCAGCTAAAAAAGCCCTARAAACTCTTAAAAATGTACCATAAAAATCAATTTAGTTACATAAATAAGAATAAATATTAAATTTCAAAACAATTCACGACTATAAGTAACTATGTAATATGGAACCCACATGGTTCATTCAACATTCCATATTTAAACATCCAAAAACTGTCATTACATTTTATTACTTTTTTATAAAAATATTGAGGTTAATGCAGGTAGATAGGAGAAAAGTGTATTTTACGAAAAAGGTTATCACAAGTAATGTAAAAATAAAATGTTAAGAAGAGTATTCAAATAAAAAAAATGTAAACTAAAAACTACATATTCTTCTGAATTATTATACCGTACGACAACTTTGCAATTTAACGCAAGCATTATATAACATGTATTAAAGAAAAAAATGCAAAAGTCATTAGTAAACATCCACCAAATCCTATATCTATAGTTATTATTTTAGTCACCTCACTATTACTCATGTTATARGCGACCTCATATACATTTTAATTCGTTGTGTTCATTATAAATTGTCATTAGTATGAGAATACGGGAATGGTACATATGTGACGGGATTATTTTACAGATATATCTTAAATTATATTTGTTGATTAAATATTTTATCATGAATATTTTAAGCCATATCAATTATTTATTTATTTATTTTAATTCAAAATTGAAAATTGAAAATACAGTAATAAAAAATGCGAATCAACCGATTTATCAAGTATGTTTTAATGAAGGATTGGAATATTGCCTCCAAATTAAAATCCGGATAAGCRTTGCAACGTACTATTAAAACTATAAAAATGAGATTTTTTTGATTAAAATAGAGGTAGTCATGATGACTCTTTAATCTTTGCGATATGGTGGTTTAATCCAGTTATACCTCAAATGGTCTTGCAGCTCACTGTAATTCCACATGCACTCATCGGGTACTAGTGGATTCCGAATTTTTCGATATTTCGTTTGTAATCTGACATTGCTGAGATGAATTGATTCGTCCATTTTTTTCATGGAGAAAGTGTTGGCACAAAATCGAACGTAACCCTCTCTGTAAAAAAATTATAAATTTTTATATAACCATATTGATACATTTTTTTAAATTAATAATAATATTGCATGTATTACTCTTATTATTTTCTAACTATTACAAACGATAATCATATCATATAATGTATTACATAATATGCCATTCGCGTACTGTAAAAATAAACTTACTCTAACTTTGTATACTAACTTGTACATCCACACAACTACTGGTCTCATATTGGTCACTAAAAACCATTGTCTCAAATCAATCTTACACGTATACACCAAGAGGGGTCTTTCTAAAAATTATTTTAGCTRTTTTAAGTCAGTATTTCGAAATAACATAGATTATTTTTATCTACCTATATATTTCTGTAAAACATAACTTTTTCTAAAGACATTCGCTACAGTGATTTTTTGTTTTATAGTGTGCAAGTCTCTGGACAACATAATTCCGTGACCAGAACAGTTTAACGTGGGTTTTATTATCCATGTATTGGTAATCCCATCTATATAATATTGAGGACAATATGTTTTCAATTCTCCAAGTAAATATTTACACTTGGCATAAACATCTAACTGTACCATAACATAATATTATAATTACTACTACAACGTTCAAAACCACTCCGCTGGTGTGGATAATACGCGTGTGTCTGGCTGATTTGTTATACACAGAAGTTTATGTATATAGAAAAATTCTGATGTTTTGTTATCAATAACAAAGTAAGTCCTTGGGTTTGGGAAGCTGGTTATTATCGCTTAAGTTAGTGTGGTAAAGGCGGTAAAGTGTACCTACATTTAGTGTATAGAGAGTAATTTTAATTATCTAGTTTAAGCAGGASAATTAAGTGGTATATGAGTTCTATTTCTAAAATTGAAAATATTTTYAGTTGTTGTATTATTATACATGCAATAGTTTTAATATAATCAATAATAATATATTCTAATCCGGTGTACCTCTGATCTTTGGGTTTTTGGATGTAGAATAGATATAGTCATTGGGAGACAAAAGCTTTCATATAATTTTTCTACGCATTATATTTTAAACGTTAATTTACTTCTAATTCATATATATACTCGTGATCAAATTTGGCGTCACTATCGATGATCAGTTTTGAGTAATAAAACATAAATTCGTTCCATACTTTTTTTTGATTCTTCAACTTCCATATGCCTGTTTCTGTATTACCAGTTTTTTGCATATTCAAAAATTTAAATAAACTTAATTTCACAAAATCAATTATTTTATATGGTATCTGGTGAGGAAAGCAATGTTATTATTTTTGAATAGACGCAAAGTTACTATGAAATTTAAACTTACATTGCCGTTTTCTGTAAAAATCATCTTATTATTCTCAATAGCTTGTACTATTATTTTCAGTGTGCTTACTAATGCTGTTGTAATGTAATCTTCCACAAATGCTTCACTATCTGCTTCCGATCGAATATAATGACATCTTGGAAACATCAAACTTGACAGAGAATTTTTATGATATTCCAAACATTGCGCTAAACCATCCTGTATTTCGAAATAGATATTTTAACCTTATTTCTAGGTGGTACCTAGTTAATCAATTTTGAAATACATAACTATTATGGTCGATGAAGGTATGGTTGTATTATATTATTCAAGTATATAATTCATTGCMGGTTGTAAATTGAGAATATATGGACAAATTGAGTTTAAAKGTAAGTATTTAAGAAGTTGGACTAGCTCAAAATTAGCTATTTAAACAAAAATAATGATTTCAGATATTTTGCTCCAATTAAAAAATGTTTCATGGAGACTTTAAACTTTTTGCCATTATACGTACAATAGGGTGATGATTCATCAAGCATGATCTCCCCCATATTTCACTTTAAAATCAATTTATTCGAATTTTGTTTTTATTTTTTAGATTTTTTAAATACTGTCGAGTCACAAATCGCGATAACTCGAACCTCGATAATTCGAAAAACTTGACAACTTGAATTTTTTTTATACTCTCCTATTAATTAGTTAAATAATATATTGAATAATAAATATATCGAAGTGAATATATTTTATACCCGTTCAATTTCGAGTTATCGCGAGTTGGCTGTAGTATATACTTAAAGAACATTTTTTCAAATTCTTGAAATTTTTATACTACTTAATGAGAATTTTGTAAATTTTCGTTTCTCAAATAAGACTCTCCCTCTTTTTACTGTAAATTGTACACATTTTTTTATAAAATGTCAATGTAACTATTCAAAAAACACTCTATATGGTATATTATAATTATAATTATYAAGCTATTATTAATTTTTATTATTTACTATACGCATGATTKATGTTAATCTATTTATTCACATAACTCTACGGTACTTATAAATTAATAATAGCTATTCACATAATTATATATGAAATAATATTACAATAACTATTATACTAATATGCAATTTGTTTTTAGTAAAAAATTTAAAAACAGATAGCCTATCCAACAATTCAAAAAATCAATATCAATTAATATTGTGAGAATAATATAATTTATAAATGCTACTTTCTAACGTGGAAACAAGTAAATAGACGACGATGGTATTGCTAAGATAGTTCGAACGAATACCTTAAAAGAATCAATTTATTGGAAAATAATAATAGGTATAAGGTATAGACTGTATAGAAGAAACTAAAAGTATGATTTGGTACGTAGGTATCCATTTTTTATCTAGATGGCTTATCTTTCGAGGTAGGTACTACCTATCATCTGTGTCAAGTTATATTATCTTAGTAGTTAAAATAAATAAAACTAACATTAGGTACATTTATATAATAAAAATGCCTATACCAATATTATAATTCATTATTAAAATGTCTGCTTATTTCCCCTCCTATAACAAATCTACCAAGTAAGTGGTTTTGTAGTTTAATGCATCATGCAAAAAAGTAATTTATTCTTATGATCGAAAAAGTTCAATCAAAAAAGCTCTCTCAACCAARATCAACTCAAWTGAATTAGTTTTAAAAAATAAAAAACAAATTAATTTAGATGAACATAGAAAACTTAAAGTTATTTAATAATAATTACACAAAGTATTTTAAAATTAAAACTAGTTTTAAATAGGTACACTATAAGTAGGTTACTTTGGTACAAAATATGTGTCTTGGCATCTGACTGATGGATGTTAATTTACTTAAAGTGGCCCAATTAATCAACTGTTTTTTAGTAACGAAAATAAAATCAGATTTTTTATTTTTTAGAATAGTCCACGATTGCATGTTTTTGAGACGCTCCAAGGCGTCATCATTTTTATTGATTGACGATTTCAGCGGGGGTGATTCAAGCCAATTAACCATGTATGCTTAAAAATTTTAAATWTTATGAATTGTGTATGATACATAAACTATAGTAAGATAAGGTATTAAGTTTTTCTGAAAATTTGAATGTCATTAAGATATTTACGTGCTGATTTTAAATAATTCAAATAATTTATTGGTGGTCTGGTAGGATCTCGTTTTTCCACCCAACCACGATTTTTCAGCTCTAGAGAAATCGTTGGGAAATATCCTAATACCGAAAATATTTTTTGATCCTGCAAAATCCATAAGAATCTAAATAATACATTTAATAATATTAATAATATTCAGTACGCTTAATATGATTGATGGGAATTTCAATTACATAATATTTTATCAGTCGTATTAAATATATTTTGATTTTAATGTTCTTATTACAATATTTAATCTTTTTAGCTATTCTAAAGTACCTTTATAGCTTTCAATGTCTGATTATTGACACTCGTCAAGGATTCAAAATCTAATGTTAAATCTAATGTATTTAAATTTAATAAATTGTAACTGCACTCTTTTATCAATGCACTATGTAGTTCTTTAATATAGTTTTTAAAATTTAGTCGAACTTGACATTCTTCTTTAAATTCCAAAGTTTGGTCCAATCCGTCTTGTTTATCATTTTTTTTAATATTGTTTGTGGTTAAATATTTTTTTACCTCATCGTCAAATTCTTTATTTGGAATGGCAGAGATTTTTTTAGTTTTTTTAAGTGCATATAATTTAGTTTTATCTTTTTCGTTTAATTTTTTTTTTTTTTCATACCAACGCAACAACATCTTTCTTTTGTATGTGTTATTATTAGAATTCATTATGTATTGTTTCTTCTTTCGGATTATATTAGTTAATAATTCGTATAAATTTTCTATAAATTTTGTAAATAATTAAATATGTATATTATGTTAAACTTATAAATGTAATATTCAAGATTTGATTTAGATGTCCATATCCATAGTAATTGATACAAACATTTTTAACACCTATACAGTAACTGATTTATCATACTATTATTATTTTTTGGACGAAAAACGTATGTATGAATGTAAGGATCTTTGTAAATAATTATTATTATCTTTTTAATACGTTATTGTTAAAGACAATTATTTACACAGATAAATTTTTTCATAAATAATAGTGTTCATTTTTGCAATTAATAACWATTGTTAATTAAAAGTAAATGATAAAAAAATATGCCATTTAAAAATTTGGATAATAAGCGCCTTATTATCCAAGTATACTTGAATTCAAAATCTAAACAATATACTTAGTGTTTTTTTTTTTTGTGCATTTTATGAAATAGTTTCAATGGTGCACATATCTCACAAAAGAATATATGTGGCCAGCCATGGGAGTAGTGCGTTTCACAATATCGGGAAAAATGCGTTAGTTAAAAATTWAAAAAATTATCGACATTAGTCTGAATTAGTATATTAGATACTGTTATATACCTATATTTTACAAATTTTGAACAATATCAATAAATTATAAACATGTCTAGAAGCATTAAGCTACTTACTAGTAAAAATTATATTTTAATATCTTAGATTAGAAATTACTACACTAGAATACGTTAATTGTAATATATAATATAGTGGTACACTTAAGGGGGTGGGGTTAACTTTAAACTTACGATATATCTACAACGAAACACACTAATATAATATTTACCAAGGCATAACGAAGAGTTTGAATTATTGTTCATTAACAAAAGCATTAAGGTAGGTGGAAAATACATTATTATAATTCTGATTATAAAATCATAACACAGGTATTCTAATATAATATAGTTCAGCCGGTATTTTATGAAACATTATTACTTTATTAGTGTTATTAGTGTTATTACCAATTTATGTAGTCGTACACTTTTTTCACATTAAATGTATAATGTATATCTTGATCATAATAATTAAAATAAATTTCACTCAACTATTATAACAGCTAGCTTGTAAGAAAAGCAAAATAATAATAAAAAATAGAATAAATCAATATCCCAAATACCCTAG